TTGTTAATCATTAAAAGTAAACTTTTGTATGCATATTTTGTGATTTAGTTTTGATATCTTTATTTTTCCTTTAGATTACTATGCAGTATATACATAAAAATATTCGATGTCAGCTGGTGTCTGATGCTGGACATTACTACGCTTTTGTTATTATCAAATGCTTAAATAAACACAGTTCAAAATACAAATTTATCGTTTACACGTGTATTATCGAGTATGCATAACAGTGAAATTGTAAATTAAATATTATAAAATGCCAAGCATCAGGTGCAAGCATATATTCTGGTCGAACTGCAATTAAAACGCTATTCGGGATAAATAATTAACGTAAACGATACAAGCTATCGTCATAATATTGCAATTTTCAGACAACGTTAGTATCTTGTTCTCTTCATTCCGCCGAGTCGATCGTCATTTGTCGCATCAGTCGATTGACAAAATGTTTCATTGAAACGTCATATCACGTTCAAAACATATAAAAATGTTTATTTATTTTGTAGCTTTAATAGCTACACCGCTTATTATTTTTGGACTATTGCACGCCAGAGTTTTGTAAGTAAATCCGTTCACTCCAAAGAATTTTTTTTATGGATTCCTGAAATCTGGAAAAATATACTGCATTCTGTTCTCTGATCTCAGGAATGACTGGCTACGATCAAGATTTCGGAATTCCCTGACATCATGCACCGGGTTGACTCGTAGACCCCAGATTGAGACGTTACTGATCGATGAAGATGAAGAAAGTGCCTGCGTGCCCATGACATCCTTGAGTGCAAGGAAACAGGTAGCGGAGATCGAGAACGTGCCAATCCAAAAATCGTTCGACAATGATGGGAAAACGTCAGATGCTTTTCTCACTGAAACTGAAAAGAAATTGAAAAATTTGAGTGTTCCTCGATACTCCTTTGACAGTGTACTTTCAGAAGACAGGGAGAGAGACATTGAATTAGGTAAAACGAACGTTAAACTTCTATTAAAATTACATAAAATATAAATATACATTTTAAATTAATAAATATATATATATATATATAAATTTGTTTTAGTTATTTGTAAAATAAGACCTACAATTGCCTGGTACAGAAAGGTCATTAACTACTTGATCTATTTATTTTCTAAGAAGAGAAATTATTTAAATTTCTATTAAAATTTACTGTCTCAATGTTTGAAAGTGATTTACAAGTAGATTACTACGTTAAAAATAATGAAAAATCGATTTTCCCTGTTGCAGACACAAGAGTGAGGAAAGAGAATGCTATTGAATCCTTAAAAGATACGATTGAAAGAAGCATGAATCCATCGACACGACTAAACATCACTCAAATATATAATTTAATTCAGAAAGAGACGCTTAAACAGAAGTTGCTGGACGTTGAGAAGAGAAAGTTTAACGAATCGGTGCCCTTAAAAATGTAAAGCAATTACATCCTTGTAATCAATTATGATTTATTTGCACTATTAATAACAAAATATTGTTTCTCTGTTTCAATCACAGAACGGAACATCTCCCGTTGTCATCGGAAAACGAACCTGAACACGAGGACGAAAGCAGGAGCAATCCATCGTGATCTAGTTATTAAACATTAATATGTAATTTCAAATGAAATATAAAATTCTGTTGTACCTGCAGTTAAACTCGTTTCCTGTTATTCATTGAGCCCCCTAATTTAATTGAAGTATTAATACGTCCATTTTCTAAATAGTCGTTATAACATTTAAATAAACGAAGTCGATTCAGAATCTGTCTTCTGAATATGTCGAAAATCAACTCTTTGTATTAGGAACCCAAAATGGCGAAGGAGGTCCAAGGGAGAAAAATAAATGAAAAAAATGAGCATGTTGTTACTTCCTTTCAGTTATACGTTCTTATTAAAACCGCTGCATTTCTATTAGGATTACAGGAGCAGCGTGGAGGTTACGATTACTTTCTTGTATTATGTTTTCCTGCACAAAACGCCACCCTGCTATTAGGAACACAGAATCATGGTAGAGGTCGTACTATTGAAAGGAAGACATGTGCAAACATAGAGATAGAGTTACGCGAGTAACGAGTTCCTATTGCTCAAATATGAAGTTTTTTAATTTTTATCTTTATAATGAACGTTAAATATGTATTCGTATGAGTGAATAATTTACATTTATGTTTGTGTTTCGTTAACCATTCGACTGCGAACATGTCGTTGACGAAAGTGCACACGGTTTTTCGAATACGATGTAACCAAATCAGTGAAATACTGTATTTGTCACGTTATAAAGGTTCGATCAGTTTCGATACTTGCAGAGGTATCGCAAGCAAAATTAATAATGAGGAAACATCGAATGAAGTTTCTGAATACCGTCATTCAACAGAAGTCATTAAACCTAATAATGCAAGAGGTTATACTCATGTTTCAAAAGATGTTAATTTTGCAAGTTGTAATGCAGATAAAGAATTTCTTGAAATGATGGCAAGAGGGTTGAATAAATATCATTTAGAAGAAGAATCTAATACATTACAACATAAATATAGTAATAGTGCTCATAATTTATCAAAACATATAAATAATGTTGTACCTAAACTATCAAATAAATTCAGTTCAGAAGAAGCAACTCTGGATGCAAATGAAAATGGTGTTTACGATGCATCAGAAAATGTAAACAATAATCTACCAGAAGTTTCAATTGAACCGGATTCTGTTAACCTAATCGATAAATGTGATTTTGATTCTAATGATGCATTAACAGATTCAGACGAGAAACCACCAAGTCCTTTAGATACATGTACAGAAGATCTTTCTCATATTGGACCTTATATGACACCAACTTATAATTTCGCTAAAATTGCTGATGATTCAATTACTCTCCAACAGCTAATCAAATTAGGTGTAAAATTATATAAATTAGAAAAATACAGAGATGTATTTGAAATGCTAGTAAATCTTGACTTTGATAAAGATATAAAACCCTATATCAGATTTTTGAATGATTGCCGTGTACTGCCAGATAATCTTGGTAATTTTATCACCGAGAATCCTAAAATTTTTAAAGAGGACATGGAAGACCTTCACACAAGAATAAGATACTTAATAGTTCACAAATTTACCCCTGAAATGATTGCAAAAATTATAAATTGCAATCCTCTCTGGTTATCATTTAAGACACAAGAAATAGATAGAAGATTAGGTCATTTTCAAAATACTTTTAAACTAACTGGTTCTGAAGTAAGGCACGTGGCAACAAAATGTCCCAAGCTTATAACATACAATGAGAAACACATAGAGAGAAATTTCTTCTGTATAAAAGAGGAAATGGGTTTCAGTCTATGTGAGATGAAAGATATATTGAAAACGAAACCTGTTACGTGGATGTGTAGTAAATATTAAACAAATAATATGTACACGTGATCAACATTGTCTGTAGTAAAATAATTTTTATTAAAGAAACATGTCATTTGATTGCAGGTAAATCAAAAATACTGAGAGCTTTCAATTATGTTCATAATGAGATGAATATATCACATGAACTGATATGTAAACAACCAGGAGTCCTAAGTTGTAGGAAGAGGAGGCTCGTGGAAAGACATCAGTTCTTAGTGAAACTGAATAAAAATCAATATGATCCTTCGAAACCACTGTATATATCATTAATAGATATAATTAGTGGTGATGATTTAACTTTTTGTACAAATGTAGCGGGTGTTTCTACTCATACATTTAATCTGTTTCTAAAAACCATTTAATGTTACAGCATTTACTTTAAATACAATCATGTTATAATAAAAATTTGTGTTTTTAATATTATTTATTAGCAGGATAACTATTATCATATGTATATCTGTAGATCCTTATGTACAATTATATATATATTTATATATATATATTTCTCAAAAAAGTGTTCAGCTATATTCACAATTTTGTCAAACTCAATGTAAAAAAATGGATAAATGCATCGATTACTTTACAATATCCCATCAACCCTTCCTTTTTTCTGTGAAATCATGGTTACTCGATTAACGTTTAAACTATCTTACAGCGTGCATGCGCAGTAACGTTTATTTTTTATAATACTTTCAAACTTTTATTGGTAAGTTTCGACTTCAATTGTACTTTCCTAGTTCTATCTTTTTCTGTATCGCTTTAACAGAGTGGTACAGCAACGAGTCGATTAATCCAGCAACGGTGAACACACCACCGATAATCGCGCACGTATTCGTCGCAAAATGACCGAATGATTTCGCCTTCTCCGTGTATTTCACCATAAGCGGACTGAGCTCGTAGCTGAAGAATATCCCTGGCATTCCCGACTCGCTGAATACCGATACCTTCCTGACATGCCGTGTCACCGAAAATTGATTCGTCAGTAAAGTTGCACCATCGGCTCGAACATAAGTTGTGGGCACGATTTTTATGTAATAATAAAACATCATCGCTCCTGAAAACGGAGAAAAAAACAGCAGAATGTTAATGGACAGATTCAATGTAAAACGACACGTGTCAGCACGCACGGAGAAACGATCTCTGAATTTTACGCGTCGAAACTAAAAAACAGACTAATTTCAATTGATTGAAAATTTAAATAGCCCGCTAAAAGCCAGAGCAGCGCCCGGAACGGAAATACGGATAAAGACGCTACCGTCACGTAATTTGAAGAAAACTAATATGGCGGCTGTCTCTTCTACATCATTATCATTTTGGTGACATGTGTTAAAAGGCTTTATTAAGAAATATTTATATCTTATTATTGAAAGAAAGTACAAGGAGGCGTAAACGCTATTCGAGATTTTACGGCAGACGCTTGAAACGTGAGTGACTGTAATTATTAGATGTTAATGAATTCATTTGATCGCGGAAATAAATAAAATATCACAATCAAGGAATAATATTTTTTCTTCGCGAATGAAATGCTCTTTACAAACACTGCGACGAATGTAAATTAAAATTAAAATTTCTTATTACATGAATATAGACAATTATACTTTGATCGCCGTGTATGACATAGGTTAAGGGAACATCTATATTTACGTAAATCATATTCGTAGAGTAAAATGCCGGTCGTAGCGGGATCACCCTATCAACAAAATACTTCATGTTGGGATAGAATGAAAATGAATATGCTGGTAGGTTTTTGCGTCGGCATAGCCACCGGTGCTCTGTTTGGGGGATATGTGTCTCTCAGGTATATATTCATCTAATGTATGCAAACCCGTAAAATAAGCTAATCGAGAAAATAATGAAATGTTTATTATCAGGTACGGATTAAGAGGAAGACAATTGATAAACAGTGTTGGGAAAACAATGATTCAAAGCGGTACAACATTCGGTACATTTATGGGCATAGGGACTGCGATACGATGTTAATAAAAGCTATTATGTTCATCACTTAAGGCGTACAGGATTGTAGTCCAATATTACGTTGTTCATTTCTTAATAAAATGTTTATGAAGACATACCTTCCATTGCAACCACAGTGGTATCATCCATGGGGTTTGTCTTGCCTGGGATGTTCAGTCCGAAACTCAAGTGACGAATTTTGTGGGTCATGTTGAACTGGGATGATGTGTATGGTTGAGCATCGTGTACTGTAAATCATTATTATTGCATTGCTATTATGTAGTGAATTTTAAAAAGACAACAAAAAAATGAATACACATAAGAGACAGTGTTGCACATTTAATTTACCATGTACATGATTAACAGAGAAACTATCACCAGGTGCAATGTGGAAACTTCCCCCCACTCTGTTTACTTCCATGTATCCATAAATCTGACATCCTTGGGTGAAAGTATTCTTAAATTTTTCTATTGACTTATCATTCTGACATTGCTTTATGTCTCCTGGGTCGGGAGGTGCCCACTTTTTAACTCTGTATGCTTCCCTTACATCTTCACAAGTGTTACAACATCTATACGATCGTTTAAATTAATTATATAAAATTTATTCATAATGGATATTAATCAGTGATTTGTATACTATACTTGATAGTTTCACTAGCTGCTCCATAACAATCTCCACACGTTTTAGGGGTACTACTTTCTACTGTCTGTAAATATTATGACTTTGTTTATTAGTTTTTGAAGCTGAGATATAATATTATATATAAGAATGTCAAATGATTTAGTTACCTTTGCTGTAGTTTTGCTAAGTGCTTTTGTGTCGGTGATATCTATAATAAAATGAGTGAAAAAAATATGAAAAATAATCTTATTAAATTTAGACATTAAGCCCCTTCTGACATTAGTCATTTTATATACCTGTCCTTTGCGGATTTTCTATAGGTTTCCCACTCAAATCTAATCTTCTTTTAAATATATTATGCTCTATTTGCAAATGTTGTTCACCAGTAGTGTCCATAGCATCGATTGATAAAACTAAAGCACATTTATATCAATATACCTATCACTAGTATTGATGACATAAAATTCTATATACTGTTCACTTACGATCACAAGATATTGTAGGAACTATAATGTCCAAATTAATTCTTAGCTTAGAACCCCTCGAAGTATCCACAAATAATTCTTCGCTTAGGGTTGGTGTGAGATAATAATTTACTTCGGACAAAAACAGTATTCCCATGATAATAGTACTGATAACCGTCACTGAAAGTACAAGCAACACCACATGCTAACTGTGCAGGTTATAAACTTTATCTATCAGACAGCAAATGTAAACAATCAACAATGGAAAGACTGAGCTATCAATGAATGCGTGGCGTGAAACCTAAGCATTGGTAAACAGTCAGAAAAATGAAAAATCAGTTTTCAGATAAGAGTTGATTAAAAAAATGCGTATATCGATACGAAAAATGCCGAATTTAAGGTTAATATTATACGAGGATAGCGTCCAATTATGTTCTGCATAATGATTAAATTAGAGAAAAAATATTATTCGAAATTTCCCTGATATTAAAAGGTCTACAGATTATCGGTAAACATTAGACAGAGTGCAAAGTCGGAATTTGACAGGCGGTACTTATAAGGAATTTTGACAAGTAAAACGCTTTACCGATGGCACCGCTAAAAGTTCGCACGAGAATATCTGCCTCATCGCGCACCTTCGGATGCACATCCAACTGTCGCAGTATTTGCATTTTAAGTGAACCAAATGAAACCGTCAATAGAAAAAGAAACGTTGGCCGAAACTACCCTCAGCGGGCCGACTTTTCCCGCAACTCACACATGACAACACGACAGGCCAGGAAACGTGGCAAACGACGAATCATCATTGGTTAACTCCGACACAAACATATCCGGTTACGAATCATAGATCTCGAATACGTTCGCTATGTCGTTTAAACTCTGTACGAATAAAGTATTTATTTTTTTACAATTTTTATACGTTAAATGTCTCGGTATAAAAGTAATCAATAAATTATTCATTAAAAAATCTTTTTATTATACAGGATGTTTCTTGGGATGCAACGTTTGCTTTAGCAGCGGCGAGAAGATAAAACTAATGAAAAATGTTTATATGAATATTCATTCCGTTCCACCTTGTCCATACGACTGATGTAATTATGCTGATTGTATTTGTTCAAGGTGCTGGTAGAATAAAAAGGAGGACATTTCTCTTAAACATTCAGCAATAAATTTTAATACGACCGGTTTGATTACCGTTCTCACTGGTTATGTCAAACGCAACTTGTCGCGTTAATGAAAATGCACCATGGAAATGGTAAACGAGAGTTTACGATCGAATACTGAACATTAATTGTTGAATTGAATAGTGAAAAACACGTGCGTTCCATGGATAAATATGAAATGAAACAATTCCAAGGGCTCACGGCACGAATCTTGAAATATAAATACGAAAACTTTGTTTCAATGAAAAATGAATCGTATAATAAGTTATATAGGTTAGAATTCTATTATTTTCTCACAGATTATTATGTCCTGATGAAGTACCAATTTATGTATATCGTTTTTTATGCAGTTATGGACATTAAGCACGTGCTTTAATTGTTTAATATGTTTGCTAGCCTTCAAAGGATCGATGATGTAAATAATGACAATGTTAAGAACAGAAACAGTGCCACAGAAAACTTTGTTGTCTAGTAGAAGGGGTACTTAATCCTTTATCTCTGGAAGAAGTATACATTGATTAATTGTGATATATGATAAATTAAAAGAAGTATAAGGTATTGCCCTTCTATGTTATTAATTACTTTATTGTTATGAAATAATCGTATAACATCCTAAGCTGTTTAAAGACTTGTAACATTGAAAACATGAATTCACATTGTGATATTGTGAACAAGAGACTATATCATCGTGGACAAATTGATGTAATAGACATGCCATTGAAATTAACTAGCAATTATAAGTATTTTTTCGTGTATGAAGATCAAGTATCTAAATTTGTTGTGTTGAAAGGATTACACGAAAATACTGCAAGCGAGGTGGCTATGAAACTTTCAGACATATTAGCCATTATTGGGGCACCACAGGTTTTACAAAGTAACAATGGGCGTAAGTTTGCAGAGCAAGTTGTACAGGAATTACGCCTTTTGTGGAAGGATTTTGTTATTCTTCATGGCGAAATGTCTGAAAACAAAGAGACCAATAGAGATTTTAAGAATTTACTCGAATGTTGGGCCCAGAGAAACCCTACGAAAACATGGTATGAAGCTCTGAAGCATGTACAGATTTTACAAAATTCTACATTTCAATGCGAAAATGGTAAGATTCCGTACGATATAATGTTTGGAAGGAACGTGCACGAAGAATTTCAGAAGAGAACCAGTGTGGTAGATACGAAGGAAAATATATGGACAGAAGAAGAATGGATTAATCTCTTATCTAACAAGTCTACTAAAAGTGAAAACGAAAGGACTGAATTCACTGAAAATTCAGATTCTGTAGAGATTAGAGATATAGATAGTGTAAGTATAAAATTCTATTTATACATTTACTTCTTTATATTCATTATTAGTAATCGGTATTGTTTAATTTATTAGTCACGGGATGGTGACAGTGATTCTACTAATGAAGTCAGAAACGAGCTTCCAAGAGAGCCTCCTGGTTTTAACTTCGTCAACGTTAAAAGCGAACCCTTAAATATGCATACCGAAGATTCTGTGTTCGAAGATGAATCAACGGATGACAAAACGAACTCAACTTCCGAGAGTCAAGATTTGAAATGCAAAGTATGCCAGAAGCAGTACATGAAACTTGGTCACCTGAAGAATCACATGAAATCGCATGCCAAAGGAAAGAAGTTCGAGTGTAACTTATGCAACAAAACGTTTCACGTGTTAAGTTTATACGAGAAACACACGCGACAATCCCATAGACAAAACAAGCTGCACACTTTGAACAGAACGAGAAGAAGTAAAAATCTTTCACAGGAGGAAACAGTGTCGAGCACGAAATCATCAGAATTGAACAACTCTTCGGACGTGAACTTGGACGAGACCGAATTTAACGTTACAGAGGAGAGTCCTAAAGCGTCGAAACGTTTGTGTCTTCTCAAGGAAAGGAAGAAAGTCGCCTCCGAGAAAGTGAACAACGGAGAGCCATCCTTGGAGTGCACCTATTGCAAGCAGAAATTCAATTTCCCTAGCGTGCTGAAGAGGCACATGCGATCTCACACAAACGAAAGACCGTACATCTGCGAGATTTGCAATAAAAGCTTCAAACAGTTGGGACATCTGAGTCAGCACTCGTTAACGCACAAGGATTACCGTTCGTTCCACTGTGCGGTCTGCGGGATAAAGTTCGACTCTTTAGGCTCGTTGAAGGTGCACACGCAGACGCACAAAGAGGACTACATCTCGAAGCCGAAAGAGTCGTTCCGTTTGTTCGAATGTGACAATTGCAAGAAGGTCTTCACCACCAAGAGCGTGCTGGAGCGACACATACTGACTCACTCCCACGAGCGTCAGTTTGCTTGCATCGTCTGTGGGAAGAGATTCAAGCAGGCTGGCCACGTGAAGTCGCACATGTTGGTTCACACTGGCGAGCGGAAGTTCGAGTGCACGGTCTGCAAGAAGAGATTCAGCCTCTCGAACTCCTTGAAGAAGCACATGTACGTGCACAACGGGGAGAAGCCGTACCAGTGCGACATATGCGGTGCACGGTTCCTCGAGAAGAGGAACCTGAACGGTCACCTGATGACCCACACGAACGAACGTCCGTTCCGCTGCAAGATCTGCGGGAAACGGTACACGCTGGCGGACACTCTGCGCCGTCACATAAGCGCCGCCCACGAGGATGGACGCACGTACCAGTGCGAGATCTGCGCGAAGATGTTCAAGCAGCTGGCACACCTTTCTGTCCACAAGAAAGTGCACAACGACGAGAGACCGTTCCAGTGTCATCTGTGCGAGAAGAACTTCAAGCATAAAAACGTCCTGAAGTCTCACTTAGCCATCCACGCGAATGTCAGGCCGTTCGAGTGCGACGTTTGTAAAGCTACATTCGTGAGGAAGACCAACCTGCAGACGCACATCGCGTCGGCCCACATGAACGAGAGGCCGTACGTCTGTACCATCTGTGGGAAACGGTTCAAGCAGATCAGTCACCTGAACGGTCACGTGGTGGTGCACAGCAATCTGATGCCCTATCAGTGCGACTACTGCGACCGACGCTGCAACAGACTCGACAATTTAAAGAAACACATGCGCCTTCACACGAAGAACAAAGAAGGCGTGGTGTAAAACCAAGGCGAACCTTCCCCGTAATTGTTATGTAGAGTACAGAACTTGTACGACTGTTTCAATGTGAAATATTTAATCGATCCAAGAACCCGAATACGCGAGTACTCGACTTTCTGTGTATCAATAATTAAGATCTCTGGACAGCGGGCATGTTTCCGTTTAACCGGATCGAGCCTCCTCTGCCAGAGATAATAATTACGTCTATAGACATCGAATATTTTTATATATTGAGTAGAATCTCGTGGACGTATTATACATACGACGGACAAATTTTACTATCCTTCCTCTGTATTTTTTACTAATCTATATCGTAAGCTCTTTCTCGTTAGTAAGACTTAGGGAACGACGATGATCGATGTGTTGCGTAATTGTACAAATACGAAGAATCAATGATATATACTCGATTTATCATTGTGCTCTTTCTTTTAAATAAACATCCTCAAGCAAATCTACGAAGCTCTCAGTTTTTACTCCTGCCTCGAATTTCCAGCACCAAGAAAGTCTAAATGTTCGTGATTTGTTCGCGAGCTGTTAATTAGTTCCAATGTAGAATAATGTTTACGTTCATGGAAAAGTTCGTGAACTGTTCAAGAACATTTCTGGACGCACATTAAACATGGTGTAACACGTTGAATGCCATGGGGGTCACCGGTGACTCAAGCAAATTGAATTACTGTTATTCATTTAATTAAATGATTATTCGCAAACATTTCTATATTAAATAATGCTACCCATTGCAATGGCATTCAGCTCGATGAACGTGTAATGATAATGCAATTCGATCAAATGATTTAATATACTTTTTCTATTTTGTGTATTTTGCTCATACTCAACGTGTTAAGTATATATGTATATATAAGCATATATAAAGTTTCAGTATGTGTATGTACATATAAAAGGTTTAAGTATGCATATATATACATAACAGCGAGAGCACCATTGAAGCGTGTTGTTGTCATTGGTGTTCGACATGGGGTACAATAGGGGGTTTATATTTAGCACAGCTGTTGCTCTGTTGACGGTACTAGTTGCAATTTATTATAGAAGAACGTTTGCGCCGGAAAACATTGTTCAGGAGCGGTTGCGAACTTTAATTTATGAATTAGAGAAATTGGAGAACAGTCATTCGATCACATCGAGACTGAAAGTTGCGGTAGGTTATGGTGTGTGCACTGACGTTTTCGTGAAAGCTGAACATCTGCTGAAATACACCGAGGATGTCGGACAGCCGGAACATTTCAAAAAAATTACTACAGAATTGGAACTTTTGAAGAATTTCGCTTATTACTTTCGACATGGAGCCGCCGCGGAGTAAATACTTATGTTTTTCGTCTTCTTTTTAACCTTCGGTGTTCTGTCACAATTTTTATCATTATTTTCGCTGTAATCGAGACTTTATTGCCTCACGGTACGTATGGCCAAGTTTTCAAAATGTTTCATTTTTTCCGTAGGAGATACATGCCGAATGAGACGTTGTTCAACGAACTCGTCGCTAAAGCTCGCTCGTATCCGTCCTCGTATTCCACCATCGGCGGGAATGCGGCGATCATGGCAATGCGGTTCGCCAAAGAAGGGTGCGATGTTACTCTTGCCGCGAAGCTAACGAAATCTATGTATCAGATGATGCCGCAGGTCATTAATATCGTTGGAGGAGAAGTGAAGCAAGATGATATTCACTTAATCATGGAATATAAACGTGGAGACGTTTGGGGTCCTTACTCCAGTGTCAGAGCAAATAGGTATCATGCTCGGTTAACTTTAGAGTACACTGTGTTAATGTTACATGGAATATCTAAAACGTATTTGAATAATTTTCTAGGTACATAATACACAGCGACACCAGCAATCCGATGATAAGATCTTTGGATCCATTCGACGAATTCTTGTCTGTGACTGAGCCTAATTTGATTGTTGTAAGCGGCCTACAGATGATGGATAACTATCCCTTCTTAGAAGGTAATTGTCACTATGATGTTAAATAACTTTCCTTTTCATCGGTTTAATGGAACCTTTGGTTCTTCTAACAGGTGAGCGTCAGAAGCTCCTGCTTAAAGTGAAGAAACAACTGTTGGAACGACCACTGTCTACGAAGATTCACTTTGAAATGGCTTCGATCGTAGAGAATGAATTCTTTTACGAATTAATCGAATCTGTCCTACCGTATGTGGATAGTTTAGGGGTGAACGAACAGGAGATAGCCAGCCTAAAAGAGTTTGTTGTGGGTGGCCTTTCTAATGTAGCTGATTCCATGCCAAATGTTACGGTGGTTTTAGATCAGATGCGAATGGTATTCGAGTTGATACGCTTGAAGAATATAGTGAACTCGAGTCCTCGGAAACTCTCGCGAATACATGTGCACTCTTTAGCGTATCAAGTTATATTTATAGAGAAAGGTTCCGAGTGGAAGAACACAATGGCTGCGGCGGCAAAGGCATCTTTGACCGCCCACAGACACGTGTGCGCGACGAATCACGTAAGCACGATACTATCTCAATGTTTTTAGTAAGACTGCAAATTGTTATGCGTTCTAACATGTATACAATTTCATGAAATATTTCAGGTCGATGTCAAGAAAGCTGCTTTGATGCTAGACGACAGGTTCTTAACATCCGTCAAGGATGGTACTGAAATATCACTGGACATTAATAAACCAGTTTCATGCTGGGACGAAGTGCTGAGTGGGGTGATCGAAAAAATTCCCATTCAGATATGCGTCGCACCTGGCCTGGTTTGCACCGAGACTGCCCAAACTGCCGGTGGCGGTGATAATATTTCAAGCGCAGGCCTCGTATTGCAAGTCTAAACCGTTTGCACTATTTCGTAAACAATTGAACGACATCGAGATACTTATACTGTTTCTGCTTCGGCACTGGGATAGCGAAATTAGATTTCATCATATCTGTGTTACGAGAGATTAGATAAACTTCACTTACACAAGTGAACACCTTTTTTTAAGATTTTCTAAACGATGACACGTTTTGATATATTGTACTCTACATTGTACTGGAGCAAGTTGAAACCTAGTGAATTTTGAAATTAGCATCGACGCGAATGCTAAGCGAATCGTAATATTAAGTAAATCGGAAATGAGTGGAAAGCACGTTGTTCCCATTTTATAGTTTCCTGAGTAACTAGAGTGACGATTGGGACCGTGCAAGACACTCGGCACTTTTTAAAGAAGTGACGACACAGTGAAG